TTCAGGACGCACCTGGTTTTGCAAGAATTCGTTGTTCAAACGAATTAATGCAGCATATACCACACGCTTTTATCGGTGATCAAGCATTTATCAATGGTTTTCAATTGAAACAGGAGATACATTCGATATTGAAACAGCAAAATCTACGAAATCTCGGATCATCTTCAACCGCCGTTGATCAAGCAAGTATTTTACTTCAATACAACGATCTTCGTGATCCACCGGATGAGGATGTACTGACCAAAATTGAAACATATCGAAATTCGCTATCGAATGAGATGAGAGAAAACGCATGTAGAAATCTGAATATTTGGTACTTATCTTGGATGCAAATATTTGAAAAGAAGTTCGATCAGACGATACAAAAACTCACGAAAGATCTGTTCGGTATTGATATAACAAACGAATTTCTAGTAAAACAACATCGAAAAGGGCTCACCAACGTGGCAGTACTTAAATGGTTGATACTGTCTCTAGTCGGTGTACCGATGCCTGAGAACTTGGCTCATAAAATTCGCCTTGTAATAGACTTTTATAAACAATATCGTCATATGATCAATGTTGAAAATGTAGAGAAACGTAAATCAGATGCTAAAAATGGTGAAAAAGTTTCTGAGGACTGTGATGTAGTTATTGGGTTTGAACTAAAGTTCTGGCCTCGTGTAGCTCTAAATCGACTAGCATATTTGAAACGACATAATAAACGCGTGTATAATATTGTCAAAAATTCACCAGTTTATATCATACCAAAATCGTCAGAAAGAAACGTTTCAAGATACGAGGCTAGCTTTGATTTCCGCTTTTCATTTTCAGCAGCTGAAGAAAAGTTAGCACAATCACGATCAAAAATTGAGAATAAACTAAATGAAGTCGCACGTAAAGTTTACTATTTATATTTACGGCAAAATGAAAGCAAGCATGATCACTATATTCGGTCGTATTTCATTAAAACATGTATTCTATGGTTATGTGAACAAAATCAATTGGACCAGATCAAACTGACAAATGACGATGAGCTGACAAGAATTTTAACAAAGCTCTTTGTGGAATTTGCGCGAACAAAGCTGAAAGATAGACTGTGTCCCCACTATTTCATCGAAAATCTCAATATATTAGCGTATTATGATGACTGTGTAATACAATTGGCGTACGAAGCGCTCGAATCTGTTGATATTGTGCAGAAAATCGATGACATAGATACATTTGAATGGTTTGAAGTATTCAAATTTTGTCCCGACATGGTCAGATGTTATCGTAAATTTCAAATGGATAATTTTAACGATCACTCATCTATCTATATTGCCGATAAATATGACTCATCGTTACGGTTATTGCTTTTAGGTTTTTACATTTTAGAAAATAACAATCCAAATTGGTGGGATCAGTGGTGTGATACCATTCTGATATCAACGTCGGTGACAGAGGCAATGAATATAGATCAGCTTAGCATCTCTGATATTGTTATCATCGTGCTCGATTTATTCTATGCTATTCAACGTATGTGGCCCTTCTTCCGTTATATTTTGACTGAAGATGAAATTGTACAACGATACGCCAGGAAACAGAGAACATTAATAAACTATGCTATACGAATTTGTGAGAAATGGATGTATGATGCACAACTAAATAGCCTTATGGGTCAGCCACGAACAAAGGAGATAAAGTGCGGTCAAGATGCGAAAAAAAATTCGAGTGATTAATTACAGTTCATCAAAAGAGGACGGAATAATATTTGAAAATTCATCATCTAATGAGAATCAATGTTTAATAGTGATAAGTGGTACGGAAGCACAAACATTTTCGGTTG